TGCATGCGGGTCCATATGAGACACTACGGGGACAGACAGGGCCTTGAGGTCAGCATCCCGGGCTTGGTTGTCCTTACTCTGCTGTATGCTGCTAGGTAGAACGAGGAAGCTGTACACCAGAGGGCCGCGTGGTGACTCACTGTCTAGTTTTGTTGGAGAAAGTCATCGGCTTGGATAGTGGACTGAATAATGATCCCCACGGATAACAGAGCCTAATCCCTTGGAATCTACAAATGTTACCTTATATGAAAAAAAGGTCTAGCGGATATAAGATGAAGAATCCTGAGATGAGGACATGCTTTTGAATTATCCAGGGAGATCCTAAATGCAATCTCAAGTATCCCAACAAGAGAAGGGCAGATTTGACACAGATCAAAGAGAAGGCAAAGTGACCCTGGAGGCAGAGGCTGCGGTGATGCAGCCACAAGCCAAGGAATGCCAGTAGCCGCCAGAAGCCTGCGAGCGGCAAGGAACGGATTACACTGTCCCTTTAAAGCCTCTGGAGAGAGCGTAGCCCTGTGATATCTTGATTTGGGCCCAGGGACACTGATTTTGGACTTCTGGCTTCCAGTACCATAATCAAATAAATTTCAGTGAAGCCACTGAATTCATCATAATTCGTTATAACAGCCACAAGAAACTAATATAGCTCTAGAAAGTGAAGCATGCCTGTGGCTGTGCAAATGCTGTTCCCTGCTGATTCACCTCCCTAATTACACACTGCTCAGGATGAAAAGAAGATGAGGTTGCTTTCTCTAGACACCCTTGAGAGGGCCTCGGAGACATCTAATGTGCTTTGGCATTTGTGACAAGGGGTTGTGAGGGCTCATGGAGCCCACCCTTGGCTCTCCGCTAGGCTCCAGCTGGGGTGGAAGGACGGAGGGGTTGCCTAGCAACCACAGAAGCATGGCAGGGCTCCCCACTGTGCCCTCTTTTCTCCTCAGAGCGAGCATATGCCTGTATTGTTAGAGTGCAGAGACTATTAAAAAATAACAAACGCCAACCTTCCGCTCAAAATAACTTCCCAGTTTCTAAAAATGGAATTCTGCCCTGTAGTAACATTTCTTGCTACCACAATAGTAAAATTTCTCACCGCCTCGTGCTCTGTAGCTTTATGACTGGACCAAGAGGGAACTACTATTAATGGCTATTTCCACCTGACGTAAGCCACCACCCATGGAGGGTGACAGTCCTTTGCGGAACAGGCCTCCTCCTTTCTTCCTCTGAGACTTCCCCAAGGGCATTAGGTTTTTACTTGCTTTGATGTCTACAGTCTCTCTTGGATTAGAAAATAATAATGCTAACAACAATAGTAATAACGAGCTGACTACTTAGGTAGCTCTTATGATGTGTCAGGCATTGTCCTAAGCACCTTAGGACAATGTATTAACCCATGTACTTCTCATAACTATCCTATGTGGTAGGTACTATAGTATTGTACTCATCTTAAGGATGGGAAAACTGAGGTACAGAGAGGTTAAGAACTTGCCCAACGTCACACAGCGAATGGGTGGCTGAGCTGGAGTTTGAACCCCGGCCAAAGGGCTCTGGGGTACATACACTCACCTCCTCTAGTATGTTGGCTGGTCAGAGTGGGTTGGGAAAGCTACCGCCAGCCAGCAGGTGGCCGAGGTCTTTTCTCTGCACCAAGTGGACTGTCCTGGGCAGGGACCAGGCTGAGACTTGGGCCTGACTGGCAGGGAAGCCATCCCGCTCTCTCAAGGTCAAGGCTGCAGTGGCCTGGAGTGGTCTTCCGCCAGCATATGCTCTACCTTGGCGCTGACCATCTTCTCCTTTTCCTACCGGGGCCATTGCAGAGCAAGGTGGGAAATGAGATTTCAGGTTCTGGGTGCAGACCGCAGAGGAGCACAGATCCCAGATGGCCACTGGAGAGAAAGCAATGTGAAGTCCTCGGGCTGGGGCATGGGCCAAACCGAGTTCCAGCCCACTCACGTTGACCACACATTGGGTAGATAAATAGACCAGATGCCTTTAGGATGGCTCCAAGTGCTGCGCCTAGAAGAGGACCCAAGCTGTCTCCTTCTTCCGCCTTCCAGGGAGGAGGTGGAGAGGAGAGGAGAGGGGAGGGAGAGCGGCCTTCCCCGGGGCCCTGGGGCGAGGAGGGCGGGCACCCATGTGGGCTGTGTCTGTGCAGAGCGGGCCTAGCTGGTTGAGATGAACAGCGCGTAGAGCGTGGGGCAAGGCGACCTGGCCTCTCTGCTTGCTCTCCCGGGCTTGGGGTGAGATATTACTCTCTCTGAATTCCAGACTTCCCCTCTGTAAGCCTAGGGATCAGATGCGCTTTGATATGTGAAAGCCCTTGGTAAACATGCATTGCTGTACAAATCCAAGTCCGTTTACTGAGTTTCCTCTGAGAGAGGCGGCAAGCCCTCAGAAGGGAAATCCAGCCCTCACAGCCTGCAACTCCTGCCTCTCGCCGTCTCTCACTTAGATTCTGTCTAGCGAATAAGAGTTAAAAAAAAACACTCATCTCTGAGCAGTTGCCTGATTGAAAGAGAAACTGCACAGGAAAGCTCCTTCTCGGACAGGCGAAGAGCCCTGCCCTCTGGGTCCTGCTTGAACGGGTCTCCGGCTCCTTGGATGCAGATGGAGCTGCTGGCATCTGTGCTGGGACCCTCCGGAGATGACAGGAAACTAGATGAACGGGTCATAAGCTCGAAGCTCTGGCCTGGACAGATCTGACACAATGTTTTTGCCTAGCAAAGCTTGCACATTAAAAAAAAAAAAAAAACGTTCTTGAGTATCTTGGGTGGGAAAGGATGGGTTCCACTCTCTAATTCACCCACGGAGCCCACCCCTCCCTGCTGTCTCATGCAGGGTGATGAGTTGGTCTTCAGAGAATCTGGACCAGGGGGTTTGTATGTCCGAGAGGGAGGGGAGGCGGGCAGGACCAGTGCCCCTCTCATCCCCAGCCCTACCCAGGTCTCGGCAGAGCCCGAGTGGGTGGGTTATGAGAGGGGTCCTGAACTGATCCGGGCCCCATCGCCCTCCCCTCGCTCCCTCCTAGTTCCCCAGAGACAAGAGTCCAAGTCCAGCCCCAGCTGGGTCTGCTGCCTCCTTTCCTCTGTGCTGGGGTCACTGCACCCCTCTTTCCCCTGAGAGGTTCAGGGCAGAGGGAGGCAGTGTCCCTGCTGGGCCCGCAGAGAAGCCTGAGAGCTGGGTGTACCCTGGCCAGCAGCCCAGGAAGCCTAAGCTTGTAATTAAAAGATTCTATCTTCTTAGGTCTGCCTTTTGGGACAAGAGCTCCCAGTGTTGTCCTTGCCCTGTGACCTCTGTCTGGGCACTGCATCCCCTGCCACCTGGCTCTGTTCTATCCCTTGAGGCAGGATCAGCAGCTCAATTTCAGCTAGTTCTGAGCACGAGAAGGACAGACTCCCCTTCTCCCTTTGGGCCTCCTAACAGCTGCCCCACGGGGTGATGGATGTGCCTCCCTGTCCATTCATTGACGTCTCCATACTGGAGGGGGTATCTTCACTCTACAGAGGGGCCATCCAGCCAGTAAGTGGGGGGCTGAGCCTCAGCTACAACTCTGCTGAGCACTGCACCCTGTGAGTGTCCCTTCCCCTTCCTCGCTCCCGGGCTGGGAGGACCATGGTGGTGGGGATGGGTGGGGAACCAAGAGAAGAGCCCCCTACCCTGGCATTGGACAATGGCTTTGAGGAACCCAAATGGTTACAGAAAACTTTGGCCTTTTCAAGTAAGAGCCTGAGTGTCGAGCCATCATGACCTTGTCCATCCCGCCACGGCCACCCCACGGGCCCAGCCTCACCAGCCAGAAGGAAATGAGGCCCGCAGGCATGCTTGGTAGGGAAAACAGACCAGCTTCTGGGGATGCCAAGGGGAGGGAGGGCAGAGCAAGACAGAGGGGAAGATCAAGGGCTAGGAGCCTGGGGTGCCTGGTTGGTGGGGGAGTGCTTAAGGGGGTGAGCCAGGGGGCTGGCCACGCGGCCCTGACTGTCTTTCCTCTTCTCCGTGTCTGGTCAGGAACTAGAAATGGGCCAGCGGCCTGAGCACAGAGGCTGAATGTGACCATGGGGGCTAGAAATGAGCCGGTGCTTTCAGGGCCTGGCGGCCTGAGCACAGAGGCTGAATGTGACCATGGGGGCTCCTCCCACCCATGACCCCACTGATCGTGCCACAGCCCTGTGAGGTACGCAGACCCATCCTTGTGGACAACATGAATGGCTGCAGCTTGAAGAAGTGGAGGTGGCAGCGGCTGCCGCTGGCTGAGCACTTCTCTCGGCCAGGCTCCGAGCTGAGCTCTTCACAGGCGCCACTGTTAGCCCGTTTTACAGAGGAGGAGATCGGGACTCGGGGGAGACGGTCTCACCCAGGCCACGGCCAGGGGTTGAATCAGGGTGAGTCTGACTCCAGAGTCCACGTTCTTAGCATAACTGGTCCCCTCATCCCTCCTACCTCATCATACCCACCAGACATTTTTGGCTGGTCTGTCTCCTACTTGGCCCTAGGGGCCATCAGACTGCTTTTCCCACCCTCAATCCCCAGGACCCCTCAGGGAGCCACAAGCCTCAGGCTGTGGGGAGCCAGGGCATTCTCCGTTTGTGTCCAGCTGGGCCTCTCTCCTGCCCTTGAAAGAGGGGCCGGGGGTGGAGTGGCGAAGGGGTTTGGGCACAGAAGGGGTTTCTACCCCAGGCTCGGCACCTCCAGGTGTGTCCCGCTTAGTGACCCCGGTCAGGGTGGGTGTGAGTGAGGAGGGAGAGATCGATCTTTCAGGGGTTCAACTGTCTAGACACGTTCTGCTCTCGGAGGAGCTGAAATCCCCAGGGCAGCCGGGTCATGTGGTCACTCAGCCTTCAAGCCCCGTGTCTTTCCTTAGCCTTGTGTCTGTCACCTGACAACCAGGTCACTGATCATCACAGGCCCAGGGCTGGGCTGCAGCGGTTGCCAGGACCTTGCAGGCTGCACACAAGTCTGCTGAGCTCCTGAAACTGCTGGACCTCGGCTCTGGCCCGCCTAACAGGGGCGGCTGCCGTCTGAGGCATGGTGGGAGACAGCTCAGCTTGCTGGGGATCAGGAGAGGCCTAGATGGCAGACTCTTTAAGAAGATATGAGCCAGACAGGAAACGAAGGGAAAGGCATTGTCAGGGGTGGAATAGTACGGACCACGGCGGGGGGCAGAGCAGAGCCTTTTCGGGAAATTGTGTGTTCTGTGCGGATGGAGTGAGGGAAAGTGAGGGGGAAGGCGTGTGGGAGAGGCGCATCTCATCCTGGCCACCTGCCCACGGAGGCCCTGAATGCCAGGCCTCTATGCCAGGGCTGCGGGCAACCATGGAAAGGCCTTAAGCAGGCGTGAGATGTGGTCATGCTCGCGTTTGAAAAAGCCCCCTCTGGCCGCGAGAGCGGCGTGCTGAGAGCAGTTAGGAGGTGCCAGTCGGACGGAGCGGAGAGCCAGCTCACTGCGGAAGAATTCTGTGACGAGTGCCCTGAGCAGCTGGGACCAGTGGTGCAGCTGTCCTGGCCCGGGTCAAACGGTTCTGCTGCAGTGGAGCCGGTTTGGCTGGAGACGTGAGCAGGTGCGAGAAGAAGCAGATGAGGCTGCTGTGAGTGAGGTGGGGAGGCCGTCGCGCACGGGGATGAGTCGGCGGCTTGTGCCCCGTGCCAGCACGGGCGGCTTCCCGGGGCTAGGACAAGGATTTGAGGAAGGGTGGGGGTGTGAGGCTGCCCAGGGGAGGCTGGGGCCTGAGGAGCCACTGACCAGCCGTGGTTCCCACCTCTACTTATACCCAGGAGGCACAGGTTTGGGAACCTCTTCCTGCAGGGAAGCTGGGCGGCCCAGGTTAATCCCTCAGGTGCCTGCCCTGCCCCCTCCCCCAGGATCTAGCATCCAGGGGCGCCCCGAGGTGGGACTGGGAGGTCAAGCTTTCCTTTCCTTTTGCTCTCAGGTAAACATGTCATCGGCATCCAGCTCTCCCAGTCTGAGGGTCTGGGCGCCACTCTTGGTCCTGATGTCAAGCCCAGGAGCCGGTGCCTTCCCCCAGACCTGCCCTTTCCAGTGGGCTCCATCTCTGCCAGCTGGCTCCTCAGAGAGGTGTAAATAACCTGGAGGGTGGCCGAGGCTTGGGCCTCACCAGCATGTATTCTAATGCCAGAATGTCACGCTGCCCTGCAGCCCCCGGGGTGGGAGGGTAGGGAGCGGGTCTGCGGGTGGGCGCTGTCTGAGGCTCCTGGACCACGGATCTGACACCCCGCCGGTCTGGACGACACACTGGGGTAGCCTTCTCTCGGGGCTCCGTGGAGCTGTGTTCCAAGGGTCCCCCGTGGGCGTGGGCTGGCGCTGGGGAAGGGAAGGCCGTGCTGTTGGCCCTTGGCTGGAGGGAGGCAGGGCAACAGGACCACTGGCGCCACTGTCCTCACCAAACACAGGGCCCTGAAGGCTGGAGTGAGTCACAGGTTCAGGCCGGGCTGCTATCCTGGCTCCATCTGAGGATGGGAGGGTGGTCTGAGGGAAAACCCAGGTGGCTTCTCTGGAGGTAGTGGGTGGGGACAGGGGGAAGGGCCAAAGATGAGCAGAACAGGCCCTCAGATGGCTCCAGGGCCAGTGAAGTCATTCTTTCTCCTGCCTTCTCAAGATGACAGGGTGCCCTCCTGATGCAAGCTCCTTCTTAACGAAACAGACCAGAATGTCTGGACTCCCTCCCTCCCTCCCTCCCCTCCTTCAACAAACAGCCACTGAGGAGGAAGAGGAGCAGGCCCCGGGCTGGTGGGGGAGGGAGGGCATGGATGCACAAATGGTTAATTAGCATCAAACGGTCAACATCACGGCATGCAGAGGTTCAGGGGCAGAGGTGTTGGGGCTGAGAGAGAGCGCTTGGCTCTGCTGGGCTGTGACAGGGAGGGCTTCGCAGAGGAGGTGGCGTTTCTTAAAGAAAGGGTAGTGACTGGCTGCAAGGAGAGAATGGTCAAGGACGTCCCAGGCAGAGGGCAGGTGGCACACGAGGGCTAAGGTGACTGAAGAAGGCACGAAGGAGTGACTCGCAGAGTGTGGTGGGTGCCAGGACAGAAATAAGCGGGGGCAAGTGCCTTAGATGGGGGGCAGTCACCAACCCGTCATCCGGACCTTGGCCTAATGTAAAAAGTGCGGAATCCGACGGGCCTGAGTTCCAGTCCAGATTTTACCATTTAACAGCTGCCGAGCTTTAGCTGGCCACTTACTAGCCCCGAGCCTCAGTTTCCTCATCTGTACAATGGGATCACTGTGACTCCGGGGTGTCTGTAAGGATCAGAAGTGGCAGCACTTTGCAGAATGGAAATAGCTCTGCAAACACGGGGCGTCTTTGGAGCAGGCCCTCAGCAGCAGCCCACGTCCGCATTGACCTTTTGGGGTGCTACTTCCTGGAGAATGGCCACAGAAGGCTGCGCTCACCCAGTTAGGTCAGTGTTCACGCAGACTGTTACCATACCCTCTGTGGGGTCACTTTGCTTGGGACCAGCTGCTTCCTGCCCAGGGTTTTGGGGGCCTGCTGTGGGGAACTCGCAGGCAAGGGGACCGAAGCCTGAACCGCAGCCGAAGAATGTTCTAGTGTGACTCCTGGGCCTTTGGGCCATGAATGCTGGGACAGCCAGGCATGAGGGGGTAGGGCCGGCGAATACAAGTGGGACAGGGACCCTGCGGCAACATAGGACAACGGGGCAGCAGCTGAGTGAGGCCGGGAGTGGGACCACGAGGATGGGAGGAGGAGGACGGTGTGAAACAGACGAGCGAGGCGGCCGTGCTCCCTGAACCGCCCTCGCCTCCGCCCCCCGCCCCCTGTCCCAGCACCCTCAGCTTTGGGGCTGCCTGAGGAGGTGAGACTGGCGGGGAGGAAGGAAAGGGCCTTTTTAGCTTTGGGCACCTGCTGATGGACCCCCTCGGGCCTGCCTGCCACGTGCCGTATTATGGTACCAGACCCCTGGAGTCGCCCCGACGCAGCTGGGGCGGTGTTCCTGGTGCTCTGTTCTCAGCAGTTCTTCGCCAGAGAGTGCGGCCGCAGCTGGCTGCTGAGCTCAGGTCCCCACAGGGCGTAGGCATCACTCGGGGCCAGGTGGTCCTCAGCACCTGTCCTGGCTCTCAAACCCTCTCTAAGTCCCTGGTCTGCTCCGGCAGCTCTCGTGGTCCCTGTGAGTAACGCTGTGGTGCCAGGCCAGGGCCGTGCCCAGTGACTCAGCTGGGCCCTCTTCTTTCCACTAAGTAGGTGCCATAAATATTTGTTGAATTAAACTCTTGCCTCTGGTTGGGATTTTCCACTGCAGCCAGATAGCTGCTCACAGCCCTGCCGTGGGCCTAGGCCACATCCGCGTCTGCCTGCGTGTAAACCGTTCCTTCTCTCCTCTGCGTATTCGGTTCCTTCTCAGACACCTTTCAAACTGCTCCTCAAAACCTCTGTCTCCTGGAAGTCTTCTTCCCCAGGTGTCCAGCCTCCTCCCCGCGGGACCCTAGCCTGCCCGAGACCTCTGGCAGCTGTACCCGGTGTGTGCTTAGTGACCTCTGCTTCCTGTTCCTTCATGGTTTGTCCTTCTTCTGTGTGGGTCTCAGTGGCATGACAGGAGAACGGGCCCCCAAACCAGGACTGTCAAGAGTCCTGTTTGTGTGTGCCAGCGTGCGACAGAAAGGCTGCCTCCTGTGGGCGGGCAGAGGGCCAAGGCCCAGCTAAGCCACATGAGACCAAGACTGCAGTGTGCAGAGAAAGAAGATCTCTCGTAGGCCTGGCGACCACACTCCCTGGCCGCCGTGTGCGGGTCTGACTCTCGCCTGTCGCCCTGGACTCGTTATTTAAGAGCACTGTTGGCCATGCGGCTCCCTGATCGGAGGGCCTTTCATGGGTCCCCAGGGTGTGGGGAACCAAGGACTGAGGCGGATTCATGAAGCACACAGGTAGCAGGACAGACCACAGTTTAAAGTCTGCAGTGTGGTTTGCAAGGAAATGTGTGGCAGGCGTGTGAGCACCAAAGAAGGTTGGGTAAGAGAGGGAGAGAGCTTTGCAAGCCATGAAGTTCCTCAGTGTTCATAGTAACAGCCAACCCTTGTAGGGTATGGTTTACCACACTACTAAGCAACCCCGTGATGGAGATCGCATTATTGCTTCCATCTTATAGGTGCAGAAACCGAGGCACAGAGCGGTTAAGTGGCTTACCAAAGGTCACATCACGAGAAAGCCAGGTTTTAAAACCTGGGCCGGGTTCTCGACCCCTGCGTTATGGTGCCTCACCTCACATCCGACGCTTCAGTGATATCTACCACAGAGAGTTTGTGAAGACAAAGTAAGGCCACGGGTGTGAGTTTGCTTTGTGAGCTAGAAACATTTTTACAAACATTGGAAAGTATTTTGGAAATAGCTAACTTGTGACAGACTGTGGAGATACAGTAAAAAATGAAAGTATTTGCAAATTCCCCTCAAATCCATTATCTCGAAACTAATCGTAAAGTGAGATTATGAATTTTTTCCCCTTCTTTCTCTTTTTTTCCACATGACTAAATTGTAATAAAATTGCTTTGATAATCGGTTTCGGTCATTCGTTTTTATGCTCAGTATCACCCCCAAATCTCTCCGACACTTATTCTAGAACGTCTCTTAGCTGGAGACCCTCCGTATTGTTTTCTAGGGTTTTCTCTGCAGCTGAGCCATCTTACCTCACACCCAGCCACTCTCATCTCACATCCATCCTACCTTAGCTGCTGGAAAGTTCCACTGGTTTTCACCATTCCCAAAAAGGGCCTATGTGATAGCCGATGAGATAAAACAGGAAGTGGAAATAGAAAGTAGGATAATGGAAGAAGAACTGGCCAGTTTTTAATTATTCACTAATACGATCGCATGCCTAGAAAACCCGAGAGAATTCACCGAAAGGCAGATGTTTTAGGTGGCTAAAAAATAACAGCCGACACTATGTAGCACATACACCGCTCCAGGCCCTGTCCTAAACTCTACACGCATTGCTTGGGAGGGGGCGATTGTCCTCATCTTGTAGACGAGGAAACTAAGGCAGAGAAGTTCAGTGGCTCATCCCACACCCAGGCACCTTGGCTCTGGTGTCTGCTTTCCTAGCTGTTCTGCAATCAACAGCTCTCCTATGTGCCAGCAATTGCTTCCTAAAAATGTGTTAGGAGGGCAAGACAATCATAGGAGCCATTGGAGGGGCTGGCTTTTCTCGATTTGGTGCTTTATTTGTCACCCGTGTCCCATAGCAGCTGTGCTCATACCCAGAGTCTCATGCAGCCTCTCACAAAACAGTCATCGGCTTCTGGCCCTGATGCCACGAACACCAGCACCCCCACCCTTGGCCTGGTGATCAGATGAGGAGGAAACTGCCAGAGCCCTTCGTCAGCCTCGTCCCTTCCTTAGGGAGAACGCGTCGGTCAGCAGCAGCCTGGTTTGAAAAGGTGCAACTCTGCCTTCAGCAGACACAGTCAGAATCTTCTTCAAGTCGTAGTTTTATTTCAGGAGAGGTCCTTTGATAATTAACGGGGTCACCTGGGCACTTCCTCCTGAACAGAAGGACGGAGTGCCGTAAGTGAGTATTGCAGCCTCCACTTCTTATCAGAGAGCCACTCCTTGCAGCTGTGCCCGCTGGGTGGCTGTGGGACCAACGTCTGTGGGACCTGGGGGAGGTGTGGGTGGCACCATCTTGTTTTGCTAGCAGAGAGCAAATATTACGGTTTCCCTCACCCATCTCCTGGGGCCCAGACGATTTCTCTTCCTCCCTATAATCATTTCTAGGCCACCAAATAACACTCGGAAAGGAGCAGGAAGCTATTGGCTGACTGACTAAGCTATGGCCTGTGATGGTCCCTCCAGAAGAAGTGGGAGGAGACATTTGTCAGGCATCTTTTGTATGTACCCAGAGTGTTAGGTACTTGCACATAGCATCGTATTTAATTCCCACAGTAGCCTGCGCAGTAGGTGTTGTTACAGTCACTGTAGATGTGAGGAAACCGAGGTTCCACGGGGCTGGGGAACTTGTAGTAAATAGCGTGGCTGGCGTTGAACGCAAGCCTGCCGGCTGCAAAGCCTGGTCTTCTTCGCATGGTGTCACATGACCCCTGTGGTAAGACCACCTCTTTGTAGTCTTGCTAAAGAGGGCCGAAGTTGGATAGGGCATGAGTTAAGCTGTCTCCTCAAGGATGACAGCAAGGCAGCCACGGTGGGACATACCTCCAGCCCCCACCCCACCCCCCATGAGACTATTCCAAGATGTGTGTGTGACTCGGACAAGGGGTCAGGGAGAGTGGCAGGACTGCTGAGGACTGGTGACTTCCTCTGGGATGCCTCTGCCAACACTAGCAGGAGGCCGCTGGAAACCCCGTCAGACTGCGCTTGCAGAGAACGCTCCCTAGGTAGTGCGAGCCCAGCAGGTCCTCTCCCCGGGCCCGCGAGCTTCCATCTCTACTGCTCTGAGCCTGTCTCTGCGAGAGGGCACAGCCTCCCTGGGAAACTGGCACCAGTGGCTTTCTCAGCCCAGGACCTTTGCCACTCCTAAGGACTGAGACTGCCCAAAGCCACTCTCACTTGGGCCAAGTTAAATGCCAGGATGCTGATGAAGTAAACAGAAAGGAGAGAGTTTGGATTTGGTCCCCGAGGCTGGGCCTGAGGGGTCAGCCTGTCCTCCATGAAAGTGGATATGGTCGGGGCTCTGCTGCCACTTCCTCTCCTGTCCCAGCCATCTCTCCGGTTCTCATGCAATCCCCTGCAGCTTTTTCAAGGCTGGAGGTTTGGCGGGAGCAGGATGAAGTGAGAAGAGAGGGACGAGAGAGGGACTTGTGGTGGGACTGGACGGAGGTGGGAGTCCGTGCAGGAAAGGCTGACACAGCCACAGCAGTGTTCACTGAGTTCTAACCATGTGCCAGGAGTGGGGTGAGCATTTCACGTGCATCGTTCTCTGAATCCGCACAACCCCCTCAGGGCCAGGTCCTCTTATTATCTTCACTGTATGCTAGGGAGGCCAGGACTTAGCGGAGACCTGAGCCCAGAGCAGTCCGCCTCTCGAGCCAGTGACCTTGCCCACTACATCAGAGAGGGAGGGTCTCAAGAAAGACCGAGAGGGTCCAGGAAGCTCAGACAGGGAGGCTGGCCCAGACTGGAGACCCTGTCGTTCGGAGTTTCCCATGCCTCCAGCCTCTCACCTTGCCGCCCCCGCCGCACGCTCCTCCGTGGCAGGCCTGTCTCTTTTAGATTTCCTGCTGTCGTGCTCTTTGCCGCAGTAAAACCTGCTGTCTGCGAGAGGCAGAAACGACGCAGAAGGCGGCTGAGGCACTCTGGGGAAAGCAGCATGCATGGACGACCTGGCTCCCAGTCCTCCCTGGGCCACTTACTAAATGGAGGAAGATAACATGGGAGGAAAAGTCTAGAATAATGCCTGATGTACAGTAGGTGCTCATTAAAATTTTTATCTGTAACAAAACAGAGGTTATAACCAAATCGCGCAATCTGTCCTAAGCTTGGATGGATATTCTGTATGTGAAAACGCTTAGGAAACCATAAAGTTACTTAATCATAAGAGTGTTAGTATCATTTCAGGAATGCACGAGTATTGTGACAGCAAAGCCTGGAGCCAAGGGATGAGGCCTCGACAGTCTAGGGAGTTTTCCTGGGTACAGAAAGTCCCTGTTGGTTCTCTTGGAACGCACCTAAAAATTCACAATGGGCCTCCGGCTGCCAGGCTGAGCTGGTGAAAGGCTCACGGAGGAACCCTCATGCTAGATGCATCAGAGCTTCAGAGAATTTTCTAAGGAGCAGGACGTCCCGTTTTCAGAGGATGTAACTCAGGCTGTGGTGCCCGGGAGGCTGTCTCGAGAGGCTCTCTGTGATTGCACAGGGAGCTCCAGGCAGCACTGCCACTGCTCTGCAAGAGGGCTCTTGCAGACCAGAGGGTAGACGGACGGACAGACAGACAGACAGACAGACAGACTTAAGAGCACTGGGAAGGGGCTGTCAGTTGCATACTGCACATGGAAGGCACGGCTTCCTGCATTTCCCTTGATGTCTGCCAGGCACTTTAGCATTCGCTAACCCTCCCGACGACGGCACTGAGAACTAAGAACTAGTTATTTTACTGTTGAAAGCACTCAGGTGTCAGGTCTCACAGCTCTGAAGAGGTAGAGTGGGGATTTAAATTCAGGTTTGTCAGGTCCAACACCCAAGTTCTGTCCGGTAAGTGGTGTGACTTCCAAGTAGCATCATCTTTTAAAAAGGTTTTTTTTTTTTTTTTTTTAATTTAAATTATGATAAAAAAAATAAAAAACTTTACCATCTTAATTTTAAGTGTACAGTTCAGTGGTATCAAGTATTTTCACATTGTTGTGTAACAGATCTTGAGAACTTTTTCATCTTGCGAAACTGAGGCTCTTTATCCATGGAATAACAACTCCCCGTCCGCCCCTCCCCTCAGTTCCTGGCCACCAGCACCCCACTTTCTGTTTCTGTGAGTCTGACTGCTTTAGGTACCTCGTGTAGGTGCAACCATAAGGTATTTGTCTTTTTGTGACTGGCTTATTTCACTTAGCACACTGTCGTCGAGTTTTATCCATGCTGGGGCATGTGAAAAGATTCCCTTATTTTGAAAGGCTGAATAACATTCCATTGTATGTATATATCACATTTTTAAAAACCCACTCACCCATCAGCGGACATCTGGGTTGCTTCTACCGCTCAGCTGTTGTGAATCATGCTGTAATGAATATGGGCGAGAAGCATCGTCTATTAAAGCAAAGATTATTTGCGTGTGCACACGTGTGCATGAAGACATGGAAATACACACACGTGAGCCATGTGTCCATACACCCCGCCGAGGGTACACCCAGTCCCAATCTGCTTTTTTTTTTTTTTTTTTAAATTTTCTCAAGAATTTTATCTGGCATTCTTATGTGTTTGTAAAAGTAATAAAATGCAAACGGTTGCTGATATCACAAAGGTATACTTTACATCACAAAGTTATACTTGTTAAAATAAAGTGGGCAAGAATGTAAGTCCTATATCTCTCATTAAGAATACATTGCAAAAAACCGGTCTGCTTTTGGGAATACCTCAGAGCAAACCGACTCTTTAAAACCAGGCTTTGAAAACTTTTACCAAATGAATATAAAGACTTTTATCGAATTCGCAGAGTATTAAAACACAATGGAAATAGTCTTTAAAAATTTTTTGAAGTGTTTCACCGAGTTCAAAATAGTGAATCCATTTTATTAATTAAATTGGTTTGGGACTTAAACCCTTTTTTATTAGCTTCATGTTCTGAAGCCGCCAGTCAGATTTTCTCAGGGTTTGGGCAGTGGCACTTGGCCATCAGGTGCGTTTGGAGGGACACTGTCCCTCTTTAAGGGTAGCCTGTTCCATTCTAGATGAAGATAGATGTCGGGAAGACTTTTAAACAGTAAGAAATAACAATACATTTTCTATCTCAATCCTGAACACAAAAATATGTATTTAACTGAAACAAACATTTTCTAAAACAACACTTAACCTCACTCTGTGTGGTACACTCACATTTTCCAGTCCAGTGCTGT